GTTTTAACTCCTGATAGGCTTAAATGTCAGCTTTTACTTTAAATATAGCTAATAAATGTTAATCTTAAGTTTCTACGTAAAACTTCTGGAGTACTCATTTCATCATATTTATTCAGGTGTAAAGGATCTTTATATAAATAGCTGTAATCACTGCAGTTTTTCACTATTTTTCTAGCAAATAACCACAGGAAATTATCAGACTTTGGAATTCGAAATGGCACTCGACTACAAGCAGATGACTTCCTCCAGGACTATACACTGTTAATCAATGTGCTTCATAGGTAAGGATTCTGAAATAATTATATTTGTGTATATATGTAGAACAGTTCCACAGGGAATTTCCAACTCAGAATTTTAAATTCATGAATAAAGCTCAGATTAAGCTGCAGAAAGAAAACACAGAAGTAAAAGAGGAGTTGTTATTTTTTTATGAATGTATAGAGTTTAGCGTTTAGGTGTTTTTTGTTTGTGTTTGTTTGTTTTGTTGTTTCGGGTTTTTTACAACAGTAATTGGAAAGTTTATTTGAATAATTTGTCATTACACAACATAAGAATGCAGTGCAGAACCAAATTTTTTGGGGGAGGGGGCAGCCAACAAGTGAGAAACTGCTCTTTAAAAAACCAAACAAAGTAAAATTAAAAAAGGCAAACCCCCCCCCAGCCTGCTGGGGTAGTAGATCCTCTGCTTGACTACCTGTGTTCAGACACAGCCATGCAAATAGCAGTCACTTTGAAATAATTGGTGTGTGTATGTAACCCTGGATAAGTAATACCCATATTCTACACAGTAAATTAACACACTGCACTTTCAGTGAGAATAGGAATGTGACATTGAGGAAGAAGGGTAAGCTCAGGTAATGATTTTTCTCATTCTTAAGCATTTTAAGTCATGGCACTGGGTGGAACAGTGTTTATGAATAGAGGAAAGCATAAATTATAAAGGAGGACTGAGCAGATTTTCCTCTTTAACATGGTTTTCTCATTTTGTCATAGTTGCAGGGTGCTCTAATACGTGAATGACACATTTTGTTTGTGAAATAGACAGGTTTTTTATTTTCACCTGGTTGTTTAAAAGCATATGGATTTTTCTGCAGTGAAGACTTAGAAAAAGATGTAGAATTTGAAGTTGTTGGTGATACCCCTGAAAAAGTTGGCCCTAAACCATCAGAACCAACATCCAAGAACATTACCAATGGTAGCGATGATGGAGCGCAACCCTCAACATCAACAGGTAAATAACAGTAGTCAATATTAAATGTAACAAAATAGTCTTTCAGTAGTGCAGTCCAATTAAAATAGTTGTCTTGAGTTTTATGACTTAAATGCCTTTTATTTCATGTTGGCAAAGTTAAGTTGCCTCTGTGTATAAATAGAATATTAAATAGAAAAATGCTCACTTACAGTTGTTACAAAACGCACATTTAAGATTGTTACAAAGGTTTACAGTAAATACACCTTGAAATTATATTACTTAATTCGTGAAGGCTTGGTGGGGTGTCAGCTGAAGTGCATCATTTGCACAGTGATTTAAATAAAGTTAGACCCATTCTACGTGATGGTCACACTATTGCTTGACAAAAAAAGAATCAAACAAATTTGTCACTTTCTCCCTACAGATTAAAAATTACTTTGTGGATGTCTTTGATCATGTTTTATTTTGTTAATTTAAGATGTCTTTATTTCTACTTAAAAAATTATTTTTCACCTGTCAAGCAAACCGTGGCAAAAAAAAACAGTATTTGCTATCCAGGAAGAAGTACTATCACCTTCCTAATGTAGGGTGTTTCTTTGAACATACTCAAAATAGTTTAACTCGAATATGGGATGCTTAAGCACTGAAGGCTAATGTACTGGATACGTCGTACTGTTTTATAGGGATAGCGTATGAGTCTGAATGCTTGTTGTGACATGCAAGTTAGATATCTGTAGTTCTGCCTTACACTTTAGGATGATGTTCATTTGCCTGTCAGATGGGCCTATTTAAGATATGTGCACAAGTATGTAGTCGCTTCCACTTGCCTCTTGTTTCGGGGTGATTAAATAAGGGTATTGCTACAATTGATTTCAAATTATAAAAAAAAAACTAGCATAAAATTAGTTTTTACAGTGAATTTGTACTTCAAAACAAACAAAATCTACTAGATGTGTTTGAAACTTCATGTTTGGTTCTATTTTCCCTTCTTTATTCTATCTATTGTTATCCTTTAGCTCTTTAAGTCTGCTCACACTTGCACTCCTCCCTGTCTTTGCATGTTCTCTCTCAGGGAGCGTGGCTTCTAGTGGGAGTGCTGTTGAATGCACTAGTGAAAGGAGAGGCTGGACTACAGCTCAGTGTGTGTAAAAGTTCTTTTCTCAAGGACTGCTGCAGATAGCATGCAATTCTTCTAGTTTGTACTTGCCAAAAAAAGCATGATAACTAATGCATTTCCTGTATTTTTGGGTTATTGCAATGTTTTCCATACCTCTAGTGAAGAGGGAATAACCATGTGAAAAGCCTATCTTACACTGATTTCAAGGAAATTCAAAATACTCTTGCAGTTGAATGACAAAGAGTATGGATAAAGAATGCTCCAAGATGTATTTGTTGTATTAGAGACACTCTTATTTTTATGTATGAAACTTGGTTTGAGAGTAGACTATCTTTACAGTATCCATTTGAATTAAAAACATGTATTTTGCAGCTCCAGATCAGGATGATCTATTGATTGTTGATTCTGAAGATGAAGGTACTTCGAGCAATGTTGACGATGATATGGAAAACAAAAGCCGCAAGAGAAAACTAGAAGATAAAGAGTGTGTCAGTACAAAGAGAGTGCGTACTGAGCAGACAGAAGAGCAAGATGAAATTATAGCATTAGACTGAACGTGAAAATGCCCCTTGATAGAATGATTCAGATAATGTAATACAGTAACAGCTTATTATGTTGGGATGTGAAAAATGTCCAGAACTAGACTAATTTTAAGGCCTTTGTTCCAAGTGAATACCAAACCACTGGCTTAAATAACTTGTGTCTGTTTTTCTTGATGATAAAGCTCTCATCTCAATAGTCTTTCAGAAGTTTTTTCATATTAATTCCTTAGATTAAATGTAGTAAAAACATAGTTTATAAATACTTACAGATAAGTATTTGCTTAAACAGACATGAAAAAAGCATGTTATTTTTGTGTAAATACCTTTTAGGTATAATTCAATAGGACAAAAAAAACTACTTTCGTCTAGTAAAGGGTCATCTTCTGATGCCCAGATTTTAAGTAACTACTTTTTTTTTTTTGCTTGAAGAAAAATATTTTTAGCCTAGTCCTAAACATTTTTCACACCCTGAAAAAGTAAAGAAGAAAATTCAATAAAGCAGATTAGTGCCATGTTTTAACAGTGTTCTTAAACTTCAGCTGGCACTATGTACATTACTGTAAAACTGTTAATTTACCCAAGTTTTTCAGCTCGTACTGCCTGGTATGTCAGTGTAAGAAGCAAATTTTTGTGTATTGTTACAGTTTCAGGTTATTTATATTTGATGTTTTGTAAACTCAGATACTACTACTATACTGTACATCTGATGGACCAAATAAATGACATCTGAAATACTTGCTATATTTGCTTGCACAGTCCAAGTTTATGCTGACTTATGGGATTTTACAATGTATAGCCTTCAAAAATTACTGTATTATTTTCATTTTTCTAAACATAACCTAGTAGTACAAAACTTAAGCTTCACTTGTTTGAGGTGAAAGGGGAATTTTTTTTAATAAAACTTTTGTGAATGTTTTTTTTCTTGGACAATCAGTTATTGGCCTCTTCAGTTGGAGCATTCGCACCACCACGCACATGCTTTCACCACCTCAGAAAGAAGAAAGCACTGGTCTTTTATACGTTACATTTTGTGCATAGGACAAAAGCGCAATGTTTAGAATCAGTATCTTAAAGCCTACTGCATTCATTTAACTGTTTTGGTAGCTCTCAAAACTATTGATGTTTATTCTTAGAACACATTAAATCGGCCACTTCTGTCACTGTACTGAAATTACTTTCCAACTTCGTGTTAGTGAACCAAAACTGCTTCTATTCATCGATCAGTATGCAGAGTTAGCCTTACAGAGCAGAGAAATTGAGCAGACAAGGTTTGTTCTGTGTTACAGTTTGCAAACTGACTGAATTTTAAACAAGATGTTAACTGTATAGAAGAAGAATGTAAAAAAACCAAAACCAGCACCTTTTTAGGTTTTGGTTCCTGCATCTGGTTCTGTCTAGTACAAAGGTCAGCTCTTCATCGGTGTTGCCAGTGCAGTGCAAAAGTACGATTCTACAGTGCAATTAACGTTTTATCTATTCTTTTAGGTAGTAATCATCATGTGCAATGGCTTGGTTGGAGGCATAATACTCCACTGTAAAATTAAATCCTTTTGAGTTAGTTGCTTCTTGGCCAGCATGAGTGAAGACTGAGAGGTAAAGATGTAAATGAGAGGCGTTACAGAAAGGATTTATAGGGTTTTTTTTATAGTTCTTGCCATAAACAGCTGAAGCACTAGAATTTAATGTCTGATTACATCTTCCAAAAATTAAGGCTGACATTTTCTTTCTAAGCTTTACTAAAAATAAAATTATTGGTTTATTAAATAAGTTGTCAGATAGCCTGTTGTCTGTGTAATAAGATGTGCTTCTCATTGAGACATGACAAAGCATTATCTGAGCCGATGGCATGTGTAATAGATAGTGTGATCCTGTCTCACTCACTACCTGAGAAATTTCCCTGCTTGCACTGGCTGGTATTCAGGAATTTAGCTTTCTAACTTTTGATTATTTTAACAGTAGAAGCTATAATTCTAGTAACTTTATTGCATTAGTTTTACTGAAGCTGAGAGTGTTCATGACTTAGAATGTGCATTATACAAGCTGAATCGAAATAACATGCAACAACAGATTTGGGGGTGAAAAAGAGAAGGGGGGGCTGTGCAGTCTCACTGGCTTCTACTCCTCAAGTTATTAGTGTTAACAGCGTAAGATGACGGTACTCAAATGATTTCTTAAAGTGTTTGGGATGCTGCTGTCTGAGAAGGTACACAGTAGTTTCTCGGGTCACAATAGGCAACTCGGTCAGTAAGGCCAGATTGCAAAAATGTTCAGAATTAACCAGGCATTGTATCTTAGATGGGGGGTGCCACGGTAGGACACTGGTGAGGTTAAGTTTTAGAGAAGCATTAAGTAATTTTAATGCTGCATCATCATTTAGTTTGCAGCATGAAAGGTAGTCTAGAATTTCACTACATAAGCAATTACATCTTGATGTATTTGGGAGATGTAATGGTGCTGCTTTTGTCTGGGTAAAGAGTAGTTAGACGGCAAAAGATGCTCCTAGATCCTTCCTGTAAAATACTTCAGAGTGAATGATTTGTAGTATGTTTTCTTTACACAGGCTGCTTCTATAGAACATATGACAGGCTGTTCATATAGTGTCAGCTGTTCTATTCAGTTCTTGTTAAGTTTGGCAATACTGAATGAACCACCAAAAATGCAAACTGCTTCTGTGCTAAATGAAAAACTGCTTTTCAGAACCGATGGCATTTGAATGTCCTTAATGGCTACCAGTCACCAACATTGTATTTATGTAGAATTTTCCAACTTAAACTTTCTCTTGCCCTTGAGAGCAAGTTACAAATCAAAGCATTTATTAAGCTTTCGAGTAATTAAAAAAAAAACAAGCAAGCCACTTTTCAATTGGCAATTATTCAAGTCCTAATAGCAGTTAATATTGATATGGAAGTAAGTGTAGTTGGAAGACACAAGATTGAAATGTTAAAATGAGGAGAAATTCTTCCCAGTGCCTTAGCTTGGCAACCCTGATGTAGGCTCTGTTGTCACTAACAATTTTTGAGCCAGGCTCATTAAATCAATCTACAAATTGCTATTTGCAGTGATACAAATTGGCTCTTCTGTCACACAGCATTCTCTAGTTGTTTGTTTATACTGATGCAAATTTCTGTAACGCAGATAAGCTTTTCTGGCTGCTTTTCATAGTAACAATTCATTGTTGACGCTTGTATTTTTTATTTACTTAGTGAATTTGAGTGCCATGTATGAAAAGGACAAGAAAAACTGCAATATTTTAGCGTAGTTGAATGCAGCCGAGAGTGTATCTAATATCTGTCTTTGCATGCTATTAGTTCAATATCCCTTTTGTGCAGCGGAGCACGGAAAGGAATATTGGCCACAGCTGACATACAGCAGTTAACTAGAGACTCATTAAGCTGCTCTGACTTACGGTGAAGAAATCTGTAACGACTTTCCCACAATCTTATTGTTAAAAAGAAAAAGGTACAACCTATCTGATTCTCAAAGCATCTAGAGAGTCACCCTTAAGGGCAATTGATAACCATTAAGGAGAAAAAACTTTTGGGGCCATGAGGACAGCCAGCCTCATACCAGCCCATTTCCTAAAGAGCAACTTTAACCTGTAGATAACCATTTAATGTTTGTGGTAGTTCTATGTGACATTTTAATTTTATTTTATGAAACCATTTCATCGTTGAACCACAGAGAGAGATGCATGCTTTCCTGGTGTGTTGACTCTGACAGCTGGCAAGCAGATCGATGTGCCATTTCAAGTTCTGACCTTTACAACAAAGACCTCTTGCTAACCATTTATTAGATCCCAGAAGATAAAACAGGCTTGGGTTCAGTTCGCATATACCATTGATAGTATCTGCTTCAAGCCTTCTCTCTACTACCCCAAAATTGTAAATTTGAATTAGAAAACTGAATAAACACTGAATTAAGGAAAGTAAATTTGTTTTTTTCCCCATGTTCTGTTTCTGTGCTTATAGGTAGAGATATTTTTTCTTCTCTTTGCAGCTATAAGGACAAGAGGCCTTCAGCTTTGTGCATCTAAAATACCGAATGTGCAAGAAAGCAGAAACTAGGATTGAAGTAATACAACAGATCTTACACAAGCCAGTCATCTGTTGTTTGCTTGCCTGAGATTATTTCTGGGCTAGTGTCTAAGCAGAATGATTACAGAGAACATACACTTACAGACAAAGGAATAGGAGGGGGAGGCAACTTAATGCTTTGATTTGGAGGCCTTGATTCTTCTTTAAGGGAGGAATGGGATGAAGTAAATAAATGTACTCCTAGATGTAGCTTGATATCAGTTTATATTACGAGAAGAAAGTTGCTGTTTAGATACATGTCATTATCTGTCTTTCTCATCAGCATACTTCTTCACTCACATGAGAAAATACATTTTCAGTATGATTTCCTGAAGAAAAGATACTTACGAAATTGCTCTGCCAGTCCTCTCCAGCAACATTTGAAGCTACTTGCAAACATTAAGCAATTACATCAGTGATCTCAAAGCTACTGCAATTCTACAAGTAAGTGGCTGTAGATAAGGAGAGGCAGACGCACAGAAGTGCTTTACCCACAGCCTTTTTAGGTGTGGTACTTGCACGCCTACCTGCTGGTGGGTCTGTATGCAAGTCCACGTGGGAGTTCACTGCATTTTGCGCATCTAACCAGTGATAGCTGGAGGCAGCAGGAGCGTGCTGGGGAAAAGAGGGTGGCTAAGATATCTAACTAGAAGCTTAGGAACCTGCTAGGACCTGTGGATATTACAAAGGGGACAGAGAGAAGACACTATATAGGTGGACCTGGGAGAGAACTAAAGACGTTGTAGAGGAGGAGTGCCAGAGACAGAAGAGCACTGACAACTCTATTGAGGGATGGAGGCAAATATGGTGGGAGGAACCTGGAGGAACTGTATATAGTGGCTGAGGACTGGGGTAAGTCCTGTAGCAGTGGGAGAGCTCTATGGGACAAAGGGGGTGACAAGACTGCAGCATTACTGGGATATGGAGAGGAGGTTACAAGCTGGAGAATACAAAGGATGCAGAATACAGACCTGTAGGAGACCGGCCTTCACTAGTTCCATTGCTTATGGAACAGCTCTATACTTGCAAATTTGTTCATTATTTTCAGTTAACAAGTGTTATCTCTATAATACTGTTTTATATGGAAAATACCACGAAATGTAAGTGTAATTGGTGTTCTCAACAAACCAATGTCCTCTTTCTTCTGAAAAGATCCTTCTCATCGTAGCTGAAGAGCGTTGTGTTGTCAGGTCAGGAGGTCAGCGCTCTTAGCCTGCCTCGTTTCTTGAATGGGTATAAAGAGGCACACGCAGTTAGCCTGACACTTTTCACCAGCAGAGAACAGGGGGGCATGTGTATAGCAGTCTGGCCCTCACGTGGTGTTTCTGTTTTTTATTAAATGCTCTAATACTATCTGACTTCTTTGCTGGATGATGGTTTGCACTATTATAATCAGGACTTTCTTTTTATCACATCAAGATAAATTTTAGCTCTGTAGAGTCCCAAGTTTGTTTTTATATTTCTAAGTCTCTGAAATAAGAAGCTATAAAACTTAAGACCTCCTTAAGAGTACTAAGCAGGTACACTGCTAACTGAGCTAGCCAACTAAATTATGTATTTATGCAAATGTAGTGGCTGCTATTAAGGTAACAGATTGTGTTTGAATATACAGTGATTATGTCCTGTGAGTGCAAGGAAGTATGACTAAGGCCATCTGCAGTCTCCGAAGTATGAGCCAATAAACTGCTTTGGCCGTAAGTGGTGTTATCCAAAATATGTAAGAGAGGTGGAAGATGAAACTATACAAGAAATAAGATATATAAATGGTGTATTAATCGTAAGTGCTTGAACATATGTTGTCTGTCTAACCTAGCACATTCACAAAGTGCCTGTTGTGACTGGAATTTTACAAGGTCTGTCCCAAGTTACATTTCTGCAGCACAGTGAAAAACTGTATTTGCAATGAATAAGAAGAATGTAAAAAATGTTAAATAGTGTTTTATTGCAGATTTAGAATGAGAAGTGACCTGTAAGCCTGCAGAGTAGTGTTAGTCAAAAATATTTTAAATAGTTGTGCCTAGCAAAGGTAGCCATTCAAATACAATGCGTTCTGTCTACCAGAAGATGGTGCCCTAAAACACATTCAATAATTTCAATTTTTAAAAGCTGTGATCAACTGCAAATGAGTATTTTTGTCAGAGCAAGGTGATTGGCAAACAAATCACCCATGTCCAAATACATATTAATAGCCAAACTTCATATTCCAAAAAGCTTGCTTATACTTAAAGTTATCACAACAGAAATTAACATAAAGGATCCAAACAAGCAAAACAAAGCAATATAAAACACAATACAGCTACCACTTCAAAGAAAATAAAAACTTCAGTCCCCCCTCCCAAAATAAAAACATTCCTCAGCATAATTTTTGCATGAATTTCACAAGTTTCTTTTTTTTTTTTTTTTAATTGGGCTTAAAACAGAGCAGAGAAAAAGAATGATGATTATATTCCTCACCAAAAAACCAATCAATTTTAAAACTGGAAATCAGAGCAGTAAATCTCTGAGTAATAATAAGTCTTACCTTGTGGACTTCAATGTATAACTTCATTGTTTTATGTTGGAGATGAGGGAAATTGCAAAAAATCAGGTAGCATCCAATTCAATAAGCATATCTGTGGAGCAGCTTCAAATTGTTAAATTGATGAAGTGAGACAAAGAACTCCCTCCTGCATTGTGTCAGTAAACCCACATCTGATATAACATACACCGCAACACAAGTCAGTGGGATTTTTGCCATTGTCTTCAATAGGGCTAAAGTTTCACCGGTGAATTCTTACATTTACAGATTCTCTGCTCTGTTGGTAATAAACCGTTTGCAACTCAGGGAGACAAAATCACCAGCAGACCATCAGATCTCCCTGCCCGTTGGCTTGGGCAGTGTTTCCTTGAAGGTACTGGCAATTAGAAGAAACAGGAGTGCACTGCCTGTGAGGCCCAGCCAGCTGATATTCACAGATCAATAACTCCACCTGGCTTTTTTGCTCCCTTTAAGTCTTAGACAAAGGAGTTTATTTAACAGAAGCAGCTGGCTTTCCTTAATATCTGATTTACTGATATAACTTAAAATCAGGCGTAAGGACTA